GTCTTCAATCCAAAAGACTGTCAGTCTGAGGAGCTGTAATAAATTCAGTCTTAAAAGCAGCAACTTTAGTATTTCCCCTAAATAACTTGCCATGGTGGGGCAGGGCACTCGTCTCATCTGTGATTTTTGTCAAGGGGGGGGGGTTTGGGGGGGGGGGGGGGCGCAGAGACACATTTGAGCTGCGTACTGTTAGTAACAACACATTTACAGTAAGAGGAGGGGAGTTTCAGCGTCAGGGTTCAGCATGAGGGAGGAGGCTGCCTTTAGCTTTTTAGCTAGTGCACTTGTATTGTGAGCCGCTAGCTTAGCGTTACGTCAGTGCCGACAGATGGGGGCAGGGAGGTGTGCATGGTTCGGTAGACTGTGCGCTCGGTTTTGTTGACGGGGCAGGGCGCCCCGTTTGTATAATAGTAGCCATGGCGGGGCGCTCATCTCGTCCGTGATTTTTGTCCGTGGGGTGGGGGAGTGGGGGGGTGGCTGGAACGGAGACTCGTCCTAAGCTGCGCAGCGCGCCGTTTAAACCAACAGTTTTGGGGGACACAGAGACAGCCGCGTTCTGTTGTACTGACAGTTTTACAGTAGAGTGTGAGAGGAGAGATACAGAGACATATCTCAGCCGTGTGCTGTCTGAACCAACAGGGGTTTTTTTGCGGTGGTGGGGGGTCGTGCGGGGGAGAGACAGACGCACATCTGAGCCGTGCGCTGTTTGTACCGACAGTTTTCGAGTGGCGGGGGTGCGTTCAGCGTGAGGGTTCAGCATGAAGGAAGAGGCTGCCTTTAGCTTTTTAGCTAGTGCACCTGCATTGCGAGCCGCTAGTTTAGCGTTACGTCAGTGCCGACAGGTGGGTGGGGTTCGGTAGACGGGGCGCTTGGTTCTATTGACGGGGCGGGGTGCCCCGCTTGTATAATGGTAGGGGAAACACTGGGTAGGGGAAACACTGACCTTCACATAGTGGGTCAACCAGTTTGTTGTTGACATTCAAAACTATCTGTTCACATGATAAAGGAGGCCCATCAGCCTAACAATTGATCATCAATGCCCTGATGGCCACTTGTTATTCAAAGAGGAAACTAAACAGCCACCGGCCAAAAGGATGGACCAGCACATAAGAGCAACATCATCAGGCCAGGACTCTGCAGTTTGCACTCATCTGCATTGCGGTCACTCTTTCAGGGATGAAGATGTTCACATCGTTGATAAAGAGGTACGATGGTTTCAAAGAGGAGTGAAGGAGGCCATCTTTGTGAAAAGAAACCATCATCAAACAGGGGTGCAGGCCTCCGTGTTCAACTGTGCCCCTCTTAGGACCCATTTAAACTGACACAGCAGCAGGAAAATAGTTTTTTTTTGTTTGGATGTTGATTCGAGGTAAAAATCCACGTAAACACAGAGCACATTTGGGTTTACATGGAACCTCATTGTAGTTGCCATGCCAGGTCATTAGTTGGCGCTGTGAATTTTGTACATTCACCTAATGCGCATGCACGTTGCCTGAAACAGCTGTCTGTAAGGTTCTTCCTCTGGGCTGAAAGCCCAGCAACAATAAAACTTAAATCTGGATTTTGGATACGAGTCGACAGATTTGACACCAATCGGACCGCCTCATCGAACAGCTCCACACCAGTCGGTGAGCGAACCAGAACTGACGAGGATGTCGGGCTTTCTACTCCGGTGGTAATCAGAGTAGCTGTAATGATACAGCAGGTAAATCCGTGTTCTGGATAATGTTTGCTTGTGTTGTTTGGTTACACAACAACCAACGGAGATTTGATTTTTATTTTTCCTGAGAGGAGAAGCTATCCTCCCACCAGAGGTGGACCAGTTCCGAAACAAAGCAATAACTCTGTGGTGCAGGAGGACATCGAAGAGAGATGTTGGAGCAACTATTTACTTAAAATTCTCCTCAGTTCTTTTATTCAATCCATTCGATGTTTTAAGCTGCACTAAGCAAAGGAGTGACAGCCTGAACAAGCCAGATAAACAACATGGCGTCAGTACCCAGGATGAAAACAGAGGAAGGGTCCAGTTCATGTAGTTTTCAGTTTGGTTAACTTGTTTTTAATAGTGTTCAGTTTAATTATCTTGATGTCTTCATTTTCAATTTTAATAACATGCAATATGTTTAGCAACATTTTAATCACATAATTTAAATTACATAATATCCAGACAGCTTCATTTAGCTCAGAGAGCTTCATTATATCTCTCACACTTAAGATAAATACTGTTGGCTGAGATTAACTACGAGATTAAAGACATATTCCATCATAGTTCAGAAAGCAGCATGTCCGCCACCATGTTGATAGAAATATAGCATCTGTCCGCACGTGCGTGTGGTTTAACACAAAGTCTCAGCGGGAGATGTTTACATTATCAGCGGGGGGTCAGCGAAAAACCCACCTTCCAGAGTGGAAGGTGGGTTCAGAAACCTCCAGATTCGGGGGGGCGCACTGGTGTCGTGTAAATGATCAGCAGAACCGCATAGAGAAAGGTGCGGATTCACTCAAAATACACGCCGTGTAAACGGCCCCTATGTGAAGGTGCTATTTATAAAACAGTTTACTGAAAGCTCCTCAGACTGACAGTATTTTTGGATTAAAGACTAAAGGTTTCAACAATTTTTTTTTCTTTATTGCATCCGTCCAGAGAACTTTAATAACAATAAGTAACATTTAACTGTGCGGCTGTGGCTGAGTGGTTAGAGCGGTCGTCTTCCAGTGCAAAAGTTGGGGGTTCAAATCCACCAGCAGTCAGTCACATGCTGAAGTGTACCTGGGCAAGACACTGAACCCCTCATTGCTTCTGATGTGTGTCCTGTCGGTGCATGAATGTGATCTAAAAGCTCTGATTAGTCTCTTTAGAATGATTTGTTTAATTAACTTTGTAGAGATAGAGCTGTATGGATGGGTAAATGAGGCACAGATTGTAGTGTAAACAGCTTTGAGTGTCTTGATCAGACAGAAAGGTGCTATATACTAGTCCATTTAAATAAAATTTTTGACAACAACAACAACAACAACAACAACAACAAACAACAACAACAACAACAACTGTATTCTTAAAATAGGGTGCATTTGTACATGACCAAAATAAACATAGAACCTGGTGTCCGTTTCTCAAAATCTTTTAAAACACAATATGACCATGAATTTAACAGTTCGTTCACTTCTCTACAAAAACACGGCCCATCACACAATACGTGGTGCATACCCCTGAAAGAAAAAGTTCTGCCTGGAGATTGTGCACAAAAGGAGAATTTGCAACAGCTGCAAGAAAACGACGTAATTTTAGTCATGCAACTGTGCCAGTGAAAACAGAGCTCTAACCATTTGGTGAAGTCTAAACCAGCCTTTACTCATAGATCACAGCCCCATCCTTAATTGAAAGATAAAACAGACAAGTAGCCCAGTAAAATAACTTTAAATTATTGGTTGCCAAGTTGGTTCAAGGTGGGCACAAACACCAATAAGAATCATTGAAGGTGGCTCTTCATGTACACACAATAGTCTGGGTATGAAGTAGAGAAAGCTATTTTTGATTGATAATGGCCACATTAAAAAAATAAATAAAAACAACTGCTAATCATCTATGCTTGTACACATTACCAAGTCGAAAACATGCAGATGCAGTAGCAGCTGCTACAACCAACACACTGCAGCCTACAATTGAGGGATTTTCTTAATTCTATTGTTTTTTTAGGGCACAGGTTCTTGCAAAGGTCACATGCCGCTTTGATTTTTTTAAGATCAGGTGAAAGAAAACCCATATTGGTCGACCTCTAAAAGAAAGTATGAAGTGTGGACAGTACAAAGAAGCCATCCATTTTCACCACCTCGTTTGCCCTTTCCAAGTGGCAGAGCAGGAGCCTGCCTCAAGCATTCACTGTGCAAAAGGCAGAGTACACCACATGTCCAGCACAGGCGTACAGAGAAACCAACACCTTCAAATGCTGCTTCAACAAGTGATGAAGCAGTTTCTTTAGGCTACTATGACAGGCTGGTGGTTGCATTCGCTTTGTGCGCGTGTTCGTTTTGACTGTCAAATACATCAACAACCACAGGATGGATTGTAATGAAACTCACAGATGTAATCACTGGGTGTACACCTACAACTGTCGGTCGACCCAATACAAGATCGCTGCCACAGCTAATGGACCTTAGCCAAGTCAATCTTACTGATAAGCTCAAATTTATCATTGTAGTAACTGAGTCACGCTTGTTTTTAACTGCAAGCGCAGGCAGTAAGGGAAACCGCGTCCTGTAGCTTGCACGTTTAATGTGTAACCACAATCGGTTACTAGTCCCATGAAAAAGTTAACTCCACGATGGTTGTGCAGTAGTTTTGACTTACTAGAATAGAGCATAGTATTGAGGAAGCCAAATGATCTGCAACCTTCAGGCAGAAACAGCAGCTCTTCAGTAACCATCAGAAACCCCAAGTGTTACACAGGCTTTAAGACCACCATTTGTTTTACTTCCTGACCAACTGACTAAACAAGAAATAGCCAGCTTCCTGTTTTACGGGCCATTGTAGTTTGTTTGTTTCCACAGCACATGGTGCAAAAACAACAACAAACCCCCCTTTTAGCATTATCAGAAAAATCTAGGCTCCCGATGCGTGTGTGCAGTTACTATAGGGGCCTCTCTCCACCCCGAGTTGATGGTGTGGTACAGATTAACCCGACTGTGTGTGTCTATATGCCTACGTGTGCGTGTGTGTAAATCCAGCTCCACTCACGTGCCTGTTTCTCTCCAGGGAACTAGGTGAAGAGCCACTCAGCTCCTTTTGAACCTAAGGCCATATGGCCCACAGTATGAGTCTATTCTACACACACATAATACCATTACACTATGGGAGCATGTGAGTGTGGGCGGGGCAGCAACAGAGTAAGTTTACACTCCAAGGCAGACAAATATGTGTCACAGAGTAGAGTCTATAAATAATCAGGATGAATTTGTCAACAATAACAGTTGTGAATAAATGTTGTGTATGTGCGCCTCACCTCGTTGTCGTGGTGCTGGCAAAAGTTCATTCGATCTTGGAACAGAGACAAAAGGGCGAAGTTGTTTTGCAGAGACTGGGCGAGGGACACAGACACCCCTGGCTGGCCTGAGTTGCTGTTGACCCGGCTGAGGTGGAGGCTGTCTGTCAGGCGCTCGATGAAGTGGTCTTTAGTCAGCCGGACCCTCTGGTGCGCTCTCACGCAGTTGTCACAGAGGTACTCCTGGCAGTCAAGGCAATGGGATGTGGCTGGGTTCTCCTCATCGCAGGAGCTGCACTGAGGTTCTCCAATGTGCTGTGGGTGCAAAAGGCCACTATGAGGGGGGTGGAAGCCAGAGGAGCCTCCGATCAGGCTGCCACGGAGGTGGTGGTGGCCGTTCTTGTTTTGGATCTGCTCTTCGGAGCTCACCACCACGTCCAGCAGGTTGCTGAAGAGGAAGTTGGAGGACGGCAGGGAGTCTACCCCAGCCTCGGTGATGGGAAACTTCTGGTCACAAGTGGGGCACCTCAGCTTCAGGGGTTCACTGGGATTGCGCTGGCTCTCCAGGCACTGCCTGCAGAAGGCGTGCAGGCAGGGCAGGACATGGAGCCTCTTGGAGGTGTGGTTGGAGGAGGAGGAGGTGTGCGAGGAGGAGGACGAGGTGGAGGAGCTGGAGGAGATGGGAGCGGAGGATCCGCACAGCTCCTTGCAGAGCGGACACGTCTGCAGGTCAGAGTCTGGAAATGAAGCCATCTGCAGCAAAACAAGGCTCAGTTCACAACACAGTTTGAGGTTCTCATGTGAGGACAGCCCGCCCAGCTAAACTATGAGGTGGACTGCAGGACGCTGCTAACAGACTTTAAAGAGTTTATTAAATACAAGAGGTAGTCAGCTCCCTAAACTAATCTTAACCCAGCTGACTGAGGAGTTAGTACTCAAAATGTTACTACACGTCGAAGCGTCCAGAAGCTACGGTGTCTGGTTCAATCTACAGCGGGTCAGTGTGTCGAAGCCCCGGCTCTCCTCCCCCACCGCCCGGGCAACATGACTTCAGAGGCTCCTACACCGACACACAAGCCCCTCTGTCGCCGCGGCTCATGCTCTCCACGCATTAAAAACACGGCGGAACCAAGTGGACCCGGACTCGGACTCCACCGCCCGGGTCCGTCCAGGCAGCCAACGGTCGGTCGAACAGAGAGCGCGTGAATTATTCATCAAAGCGACCGCCTCATAGAGAGCTTCGGGTCACCGTGGCATGAAAAAAATAAAAAATAAAACGAGTCTCCGGTTAAAACACACCGGACAGGGCGTCAATCGCTTGCCTTTGAGAGCGAATTCATTCAGTCCGCTGAAGAAGCCGCCGCCGCCAGCAGTCTTCCAGTTCGGCCCGTGTGGCTCGGTTCTCCCGGTGTGGCTCTCGGCGGGGGTTAACGGGAACAGCCGCGGTCTCCTGCTAGCTTCTTTACAACGAAACGAACAAACAGCGCGTGCTCTTTCTGCCTCTCTCTCATGGTGCGCGAGCAGCAGCTCCTCGGGCCGCTCTTATCAAACTGAGGGGGGAAAAATGAGCTAGTTTCCGTCCAAAGGGACACGAGAGGGGTGTGTGCGCCCAACGCTCGCTCCCGATTCCAAGGGGTGTGTGGTCACGTACGGTCACGTATGCGTGCGTGCGCGCGACCCAACTCTAGTGACAGGGCACGTCGTAAAAGTGATGAAATGCGAGTTGGGTTTGAGTAATAAAGTGGATTTCCACGTTGTTTCTTCAGCGCCATCTACTTCAGCTTATATTTAGCTGCTTTAGCATTCAGCATTCAAACGTGTCTTTAAAATATCCTCATGCATGCTGGGAGAAAATCTAAAAAAGTTTGAAGTCAGGTCCTCTGGACATTCAAAAAATAACTTGTTGAAACGTTTCGTCTTTACTTCTGCTGACTTTTCTTCTCATTTAGCCTTTATTTATCCAGGTAGTCTCATTCAGCCACAGAACTCGTTTTCAAGAGAGACCTGATTAGGGAGCAGATGGGGTTTAGGGGCCTTGCTCATGGGCCCAGGGTAGGGCGAATGAGGGTGGAGGCAGGTGTGGGTGCTTCACCTTTGCACCCACATTTTGAGTTGTCGTCGGGGAGTCGAGCCAGCAACCTTCTGATCACAGGTCCACTTCTCTAGCCTCTGTGCCACCACTCCTCTATATTTAGGACTTTATGTAGTAAATTGTCAAATTTAATATCTAGCTAATGTTTGAGCTAATTTTAGCATCTATCTGCTGTTTATACTTATTTTTATTACTGTCTTGACAATTTTATATCTAGCGTTGCTTTTTAAAAATAATTCAGCTACTGTTTCTGCCATGCTAGACACTATTGGCAGAAACAGTAGCTGAATTATTTTTAAAAAGCATGCAAAGTACAGTTTTAACAATTTTTGCTACTGTTTGAGCCAGTTTTACCATCTACATACTGTTAACATCTAGTACTGTCACCGGTAGTAGCTACTCTTTGACAAATTTAAAAAGTAGCTATGCCTTTCTTTTGTTGCCAAATTGTAGCTACTGTTTTTGTCAATTTTAGCATTCAGCTCCTTTATAGCTTCCGTCTTACAAATTTTAATTACCTTTAATTACCTTACTTTTAATTTGCCTTTTTTTATCATTAGCAAAGCTTTTTTTTTTTTTTTTTTACAAATTTTATCTATTGTTTGACAATTTTAGCACATAACTCGTTTTTTTTAGTATCTAGCTAATATTTTGATCTATTTTACCTCTTGCCAAATTTAGCATCTAGCTGTTTTCACTGGTTTTTGATATCGTTTAACTATTTTTGCATCTAGCTTCTGTTTTTGACAACCTTAGCTAGTTTCACTAACTTTAGCATCTAGCTACTGTTTTTAATTAATTTAGCTAGTATACTGCATTTTATTGTATTGTTTTGTACTTTTCAATAAAGATTAAAAAAAATAATTAATTTAGCTTTTGTTTGTCAAATTTAGCATTAGAAAGTTTAACAAAATTTAGCTGACAATGTTAGCATCTAGCTACTGTTTTTTTTAAAAATCAATTTTAGCTACCATTTTGCCAAATTTAGCATCTAGCCATGTTTAATTTTTTTTTACCAAATTTAGCTTCTGTTTTGGACTATTTTAGCATCCAGCTCTGAAATTTTAGCTACTATTTTGTCATTTTTAGCATCCATATATATTTTATTTTTAACAATTTCTGCTCTTCGATCATTTATGCTTTTAGCTGCATATGGAACACTCTTCTGATCATTTCAGCTTAGGGTGTGTATTTTACGGCACGAGCCGTAGCGAGTCTTCGGCTGATGGCGTAGACGAGCTAAAGACAGCTGTAGGGCCAGTTTAAAGTCACTGTAAGGATCTTTAAATATTTTTAAGCGAGATTCTTGAATAGTTTTGACAAATTTCCAGCGAAGTAGAAAATAAAGTTTGTAAATTAGGCTCATCTAAAGTCGAAACGCCGCAGAGAATCTGTAGAAGCCGAATGTTTTGTTGACTCAGCAGAAGGCTGCTCAGTGTTCGTGCCTCCAAACACTAAACTATACAAGGTGAGGGTTTTATTACGTTGTTTAAAGTGAATCACTTTAATAAATCCTAAAACATTGTGGGCAACGTCCTGATTTTATTCTAAGCCAGAAACCTTCATTTAATGTAACTTTTATTCAGCGTTTTATCAAAGTCAAGCCTTTATTTTTAGTTCTAATCGTTGTAAACATTACTTCAATGTTTTATAAAATATGATCCTGCCACGTGAGCACAAATCTGTGCTCTTCTTACTTCCCATCAGGATTTTGTCTAATTGTTTTTCGACTTTGGAATAAGAACGTGCTCTAAGTGGCCACAGCATGTTTATTAAGTTAAGGTATATATGTGAGATCATATGTAAGTTAACTTTATTTGTTGCAAATAAACCAAAATGTGTCCGAGGGAATCTTTCCAGGCTCTTCCACTGGTTTGAACTGGGTGGATGACTGATTTGATTGGGGCTGTTGGGGGAGTTTTCCAAAAGGTATTGCACGCTGAATACAGCTCGTTCAGGGAGAGACCCACTCCACTTCTTTAAAACATCTTCAGTTGATCCAAAATGCTGCTGCCAGAGTCTAAACTGGAGTTAGTGGGAGAGATCATATCTCTCCAGTTTTAAATTCTCTCCATTGGCTCCCTGTCAAATCCAGAAGATATAAAATATTACTTAACCTACAAAGCTCTCAACAACCTAGCTCCATCTTATATTACAATCTTATTTTTCCACATTTTCCTAACAGAGCGCTTCGCTCTCAGGCTGCAGGTTTACTTGTGGTTCCTATAGTGTTTTTAAAAACAGAATGGGAGGCAGATCTTTCAGTTATCAGGCTCCTCTCTTGTGGAACCAACTTCCAGTTTCTGTCCGTGAGGCTGACACATTGTCCAGTTTTAAGACTTTCCTTTTTGATAAATCCTATAGTTAGGGTCGGCTTGGGTTTCCTGAGCTGTCCCTCTGTTATGCTGCTACAAGTTTAGAATGCTGGAGGACAAATTGACCACATTTCCTCTCTCTGCTGCGGTCTTTACTTACGCTACCTGTTTATTTGTAATTATTTATATCTTAACGTGTTTTTCCTTCTATAGAACGTACATCTGGACCTACATCTGGACCTGTCATTCTGTTCGTCTCTCCTTCCTGTCCTCTCAAACCCAGCCGGTTGCAGCAGATCCTGATCCAGATCCTTGTCCTGAGCCTGGTTCTGCTGGAGGTTTCTTCCTGCTAAAAGGGAGTTTTTCCTTTCCACGGTCTCCTTTGTGCTTGCTCAGAATGGGAGACTGTGACAAAATGAAGACTCAACGAGTCTGCTGCTTCCATAGATAAAGAACTTTACTAATTGTATTTTGTATGCATGCGAGTGTTTCGGTTCAGTGTCCTGAGACAACTTCTGTTGGGATTTGGTGCTATATAAATTTACTGAATTGAACTGAAATAGAGCTGAATTCTCTCTCCTGCTATAAAGATCTTGATGTGCACAAATCTGCTGGACAGGAAGTTAATATCACTAAACTGGAAATCTGCAGCTCTACCTAGATACAAGCTGGACTAGAGGGGGCCTTCATTTTCTTCAACTTGGCAGGTAAAATGTTACTATTTGAATAAACAGTGTTTAAACTTGTATCTCAGCAGGTCTGTAAATGACTCATGTGGTTCATATGGACCCAGCTAACATGAATTTATTTGTTCACATGATCAACACATCAGATCCACGAAGAGTCAAGCCAAGGTTACCAGAGAGACAGGGAGACTGGGGAGGACGTGATCAGCACGCTGCAGCTCGGAGCTAAATAAAATCCAACAATCGGTTCTGTGTTGCAACTTCATCCCTCAAAGACACACTTGTAGGCGCTTGTTTGCCCCCAGCACATAATGAATAAATAGTTTCCAAGGATTGTTGAGATTTATTAAGATCTCTGCAAACATTATCAGACCCAAATGTGAAGATCAGGGCCACAGCTTTTACCATGATCCACATCTCATGACTGAATGTTGCTCAGCACAGGAGGAGGATTTCACATTTTCACTTGAGCTGACAAGTGATGACTTCATCAGATGCTGTATCAACATTTACTGATACTTTATGACTTCTGTTAAACAATGGCTGCATTAAATGAGGCTCGTTGTTTCCTTCTGCAGCCCAGCACTGCCCCCTGGTGGCTGAACACTTCAGTATTTAAAAAAAGAAACTGCAGATGCAACATTTCAAACCAAGAAGCAACAACCTGTTATTTGACAAACAGCTGTCTTTAGCTCAGTCTGCAACACTGAGTTAGGAGCCATTTTTGCATTTGCTAAGGTGGCTTTGCTGTGGCGGCCATCTTGAATTTGGTTGTTTAACGTACGTCCATTGATTACTTTTAGAGTTTCATTCAAATCCGTCTGTCCAGTGGTTAAGATGATGTTTTGCTAACATGGCAAACCAACTCAATTTAATAATACAAATTATTATTATTATTTTTTTGTCTTAGTCAGGTTTGATTTGAAAGTTTAATAAAATGCAAATTCAGTTTTTAATTTTTTTTATGTCATTTATCTCAAACATACACAACACCGGACAACTTTGTACTTTGTTTTAATAAAAAAAAACTACACAAAGAATATGTTAATTACATTACCAGAACAATTAACATTTTGACAATTAACACAATTAACATAAAACTGTCAAAGACTAAACACTAATATATCTATTTACACTCAAATTTTATTTACAGCTAACAAACTGTAGCACAACCCAAACTTTTTTCACCCCAAACAAAACTAAAGTTAAAGAAAATAAATCTACCATAAAACATTAAAAAAAAGAGCTAACAGAGAAAGTGTAAAATTCTGGCGTCAAGTCTTTGGTCGGATATTTCTGCCTTTTGGTCAAGTGTTACACTTAAAACATGACCGTCAGTGCGAGGACAAATAAGATCCAACAGAAACTTCTGTTGTTCCGTCTTCCTGATTTCATTGATGGCTTTCATGGAGTTTTAGATGCTGAACTTTAGCTAGATGAAAAATGTGCCGGCAACAGCAGGAAAACAAAAGGTCTAATTTAGTGTGTCCACATCTCACTGGCCCATAAATGATTGTGGTGGAGCCAGCGG